AGCATAACGAGGTCGCTCGTTCCTTTTGCAACCAGGGCTTCTTCATCACTGGCCGACACAGGGGCCTAATGGACTTTATGTTGCCATAGCAACAGCGAGTGTTTTCAAGGCTTGCTGTTTTTAGAAGCAGGAAGGAGATGGGCGGTGGGGGTCTGGTACTGGATTCACTTAGCGCTGAGAGGAAATGCAAGAGGTGAAATGCCAGACTGGTCAACAAGGCTCATTTAAAACCATGCTTTGTCCACCTCAAGCACAAAATCCCAACCAAAATATTTTTGGCAGCAGAGATTAAAGAACCACTCCAGGTCCCTTCCTTACGAGCACACACTTGGGTTTTGATCTGACAGCACAGAGTCAAAAATAATGTGGCTATGTAGCGGTGAAGACTGCTGCTCAGCTTCTGTTGTACGCTGCACCTATGGCTTTGCTAAAAAAAAACCAACCTGTAGCATATTGCCAAGGTGAGAACAGCATAAAATAAACTGACTTTAACAGCTGCACAAACAAATGCAAGGCAATGTACTGATTGCACCAGTGTGCAAGGTGGGGGGCAGTTAAGAGATATGCATATGTAGAAACAGGCAGTGCTTCAGGACCTGAGGGTTAATTCCCAATATTTGGGGACCTGTCATTTCCATCAGCTGTGCTGCATAGACTCATTGACCCTTCTGTAGAAAGGCAGTAAGGATCATAAGCATAAGATCAACAGTCAAGATCAGGTTTTCATCTCATGAATTCCACTCTTCAGAATGCACAAGAAGCCGTAAATATTGTTTCTGTGGCCATCTGAGACCAGGAGGAGTGAACCAGGTGGCATGAATCAGTACCAAGTGGGTGAGGTTTCAGTTAAGATATTGCTTGGCAGAGCAGTGCTAAAGCTGCCTTCATCAGAACCATTTCTGATGCAAGGGAAGAAAAACACTGTTCTGCCAAAGCAGGAGCAATATGGTCTTATCTATCACTGGCTCCAAGCTATAAGTGCAGCCTGGGCCCTCAAGCTTTAAAAGCGAGCCTGGAAGGTATCCAGAAAAAAAGTAGAAACTATGCACACAAAAACCCAAAGAGAAACAGGCTTGTTTTTGCAAGTTCATGGGAATATGAGTTCTGAAACATGATTATCCCTAATTGCTTAAGACTGACTCACCATATAGAAATCAGTAACTCTTGTGTCTAAAGGGGCTGGTGTCTTTCTGAAATATAAAGCAGCCCTACAGACACTAGGGCAGGCAAAAGGGGCCTCCTCAAGCAATTGCTGTTCTTCAAGTGGCCAAAGATTCACAAATTTTGGAGTTGCTTCAAGATCCTCTGCTCTTCCTTGCTGGAAAAGATACGGGGTGGGCAGAGGCCATGGGCTTGCAGAAACATTGGTCTCAAATGTCCGAGTCTGAGAATGGTCCCTTAGCCCTGGCACCTGGGGCCCCATTTGGCAGGCTGGGGGCGGGGAGGACGGGGGGTTGTGGGTTGTGAGTGAGGGGTAATGGCAGGGGCAGGACACTGGCATATTAGGGCTGCAGACCAGTCAGCCTCACCTCAATCCCTGGAAAAATCATGGAGCAGGTCCTCTAGGAATCCATTTCTAGGCACTTGGAGGAGAAAAAGGGTGATTAGGAGCAGTCAGCATGGATTCACCAAGGGCAAGTCATGCCTGACCAACCTGATTGCCTTCTGTGACGAGGTGACTGGCTCTGTGGAGGCAGGGAGACCTGTGGATGTAGTTTACCTTGATTTTAGCAAGGCTTTTTATATGGTCTCCCACAGCATTCTCCCAGGCAACCTAAGGAAGTATGGGCTGGATGAATAGACTGCAAGGTGGACAGAAAACTGGCTGGAGCATTGGGCTCAGGGAGTAGTAACCAATGCCTCAGTGTCTAGTTGGCAGCTGGTATCAAGTGTCAATCCTGTGGCCAGTTTTGTTCAATGTCTTAATCAACAACCTGGAAGATGGCAGAGTGCACCCCCAGCAAGTCTGCAGATGACACCAAGCTGTGGGGAGCAGTAGGTACTCTGGAGGGTAGGGCTAGATTCAGAGTGAATGAGACAAATTGGAGGATTGGATCAAAATGAATCTCATGAGGTTCAACAAGAACAAGTGCAAAGTCCTGCCCTTAGTACAGAGCAATCCCATGCACCGGGACAGACTGGGGGCTGACGGGCTGGGCAGCAGCTCTGCAGAAAAGGCGCTTGGGATTACAGTGGACCATAAGCTGAATATGAGCCAACAGTGTGCTCTTGTTGCCAAGAAGGCTAACAACATCCAGGGCTGCACTGGTAGGAGCACTGCCAGCAGACTGAGGGAAGTGATTGTTCCCCTCCATTCAGCACTGGTGAAGCCACGTCTGGAGTACTGCGTTCAGTTATGGGCCCCCACTACAGGAAGGGGGTGGACAAATTGGAGAGAGTCCAGCAGAGGGCAACAAAAATGCTGACGGCGGTTCTGGCGGCACAATCTCCACCCTTGGAGGTTTTCAAGACCCAGCTAGACAAAGCCTTGGCTGGGATGATGTAGTTGGGGCTGGTCCTGCTTGGAGCAGGGGGTTGGATTACATGATCACTGGAGGTCCCTTCCAGCCTGAATTTTCTATGATCCTATGCTCAGCACCACAAACAGGTGGGGGGGGGACAGCCAGAGCTGGACCCACCTTCTGATGAGGAAAGAGGGCAAGGGGATCTCTGATTTTCCATGATAAAAAACCAAAATCAAACATCAAAATATAAAGGTATTTAGAATTTATTTTATTACAATGACTGAGGCACTGGTAGGCTTCCAAATGGCTTTAAAATTGCAAATGTATCAATAAAATATTGTGTTCAACCAATATCTTTGTATATAGTGGCATTTCATTTTAATTGTGGAAAAATGCTGTTTTGGGGTTTTTAATTCAGAGAATCTGGGATTTTGGGTGGGGGGGGCAGTTAAATCAGAAAATTTGTGATTTTTAAAACAGAAAACCAAGATCCCTCCTGATCCCCACTGCCTTCTTTCTCACTCTTCACCCACAATTCCTCTCCTTCTTGGCCTGCTTCATGATCTCCCCTTGCCAATCAGATGCTCTTAGTTCTGGCCCACCGCATGACAGCCTTCTCTTGTTCACATTCCTTAAGACACTTTCTTCCTGATGCCAACAAGAAGCAAGTTGGCAAAAACCTTTTAACCAAACATTTATTTTTCATGACATACCTGAATCACCGAATAGCATGGATCCTTGAACAATGTGATCTGCAAGCTTTCTGTTGTAAGGTTGGTCTTTTTCCACCTTACCTTTCTGCACTAACTCTAACCTACCATCTTTCATTCCTTGAAGTCTCAGAACAGCAGACTCCCTATGCCTGAAGAAGGGTGATTGCGCCTGAAAACTTGCAAAGAATTTTTTTTCAACCACTCATTTGGTCTAATAAAAGATATCACAGCCACTCAAAGAACCTTGCCTGCCTATGTCCTTTGGCCGACACAGCTGCAACCGAAAACCCAACCTACCACGTAACATCTCAGATTTTAAACCCTTGGGACAAAGCCCACATCTTTCTACCAATTCTAGAATATTACCAGTGCACTTTTGTCCACTTCAGTAGTTACAACAGCAGTGCTGCTACACTGCTATCAGTGGCAGCTGCTGCAATTTTGAACTGCCCTGTTGTCTCACCAGCTGGGGTGGACAATAAAGAGGTGGAGGGAGTGCAGTTCGTCTATAAAGACCTTCCAACAATGGACCTGTGATCACGTGTGTGCAGAATGTTAAGGCAAAGCTGACTACTTAATTAAATAGAGTCTTAATATAAAACTAGAGAAAGAGTAACCCAAACTTACTATCATAGCAATAAATACTTACACAGCTCAGGATAAAACTTTTCATTTTGCTAGGACAAGGCTTGGCAACTACAGTTTGTGGCCTGGCCTGCAGTGCCAGGGGGCTTTGGCTGAGAGGTGGGGAGAACCAGCAGCGGTAGCAGTGCAATGGAGAGCAGTGCTTGTAGCTATGTCAGCTGCTCCAGCTCCAGCAGCGTGGGCCAGGGTGCAAGTGACCCCACACAGAGCTAAGCTCCGATACAGCAGCCCTCCACGGCTGCTGCCCCCTGTGCTAGGGAATATCATTTGCAATAGAATCCAGCATAGTTGATGATTTAATAATTTGTGATTCACTCCTGCCTTTTTTCAGTAACTGCAAAAATAAGAGTATGAATATGGCAAAGCAAAGCAGACTAGTGGAGGTGTTAATACCATATCAACCATCTATAAGTTTCATAGTTGGTAGGGTCAGAAGGGACCAGAGCAGATCATCAAGTCTGACGCCATGCCATGGGCAGGAAAGGATGCTGGGGTCAAATGACCCCGACGAGGTGATTATCTAGTCTCCTTCTGAAGACCCCCAGGATAGGGGTGAGCACCACTTCCCTTGGAAGTAGGTTCCAGAACCTAGCCCCCCGACTGTGAAGTAGTGCCTCCTGATAGCTAACCTGAATCTATTCTCCATCAACTTATGGCCATTATTTAGATTTATACATAATATTTTGCTAAGATTTACAGATAAATAAAATCATTTTGTTATTTATTCTTCTGTGTGCAGTGGCATACCTATACTCTAAGATTGTGAAAAGGTTCAAGATTTACAAATAAATATTGTAAAGATAAATAAAATACAGCTGTTAGGACAAAAAAGTTCCAATTTTCCTGGTTTCCGAGGCTGCTTTGATTCCACAAAGCAAAGCAGAATCATCTGTAAGTTGTTAAACAGGATACAAGGTATTAAATAACTAGATCATTCATTTTCCTATTATAAAGACTGCCTTTTCCTTAATACAAAGTAAGACTGCATTTAGGGGGGACAGTATTCATCAGATGATCAGTTTTACATATATTCCAAGTGTCAGTAATTTGACTCCTTGAAGACACCAGTCTAGTATACTATGTATTGTATTTTCATTGGAAAAAATAACTTTGAAGGATACAATGCACTTAAATACACCTTAAACAAGGAAGTGATAACTCAAAGATATCACCCTACCTGAGTTGTGCTTTAAGTTCAGTAAACCTGGGTCGTCTGCTAGGATCATATGCCCAGCACTTGGTCATAAGGCTGTAAAGGGTTGGAGGGCAGTTTGGAGGCATTGGTAACCGCTCGCCATTCTCAATTCGGCCGATCACATCATTGTTCTTCACTCCTTGGAAGGGCTTCACACCATGCATTAGAATTTCCCACATACACACACCTGGGAAATAAGGAAAGCAACCACCAGCCTACAGTGAGCAAACAAGGAGCAGGTCCCATGAATCAGCTGTTCTACTGGTAAGTCCCTACCCTCTGTTAACTTCCTTTAATTTGACTGTTTGTACATACTCTGTACCAATTATACCTGAATAAACAGCTTCCACAGGATTATGTGGAGAATTAATCAGAGCTGTATTTGAAGAAATCCGAGCTGCAGCTGGCTTACAGCAGGCAAGGAACCTGTACCACTTCAGCTTTAATACTACTTCCCATTGTAAATCAGGTTAGCTGCTCACATTCAAACCTACTTTTTCAAGCTGCAGAATGAAATGCATTTGCATTTCCCCTGTCTAGTTCCAACTGGCTTGTTTTGATTTGTGCATATTTTGCTTGAGAGTTTTTCAGTAGTGGCATTTATTCAGTTTACTCCTGTCGAAACTATGCAACAAAATGTAGTTTCTGTTGAAACTCTGCCCTGCACGCGAAGAGGAAAAGCTAGCCTGTGGGCGAGTACCTCTACCTGCACTGCTTTCCTGTGCCAGATGGAAGTGATAGTTATCCTGCAATTAGGGCTTCCTTTCTTCAACAAAACAGTGACTAATCTTGATAAATCACATGCTTTAAAATATTCACAACTCTTGTTTTAAAAGAAGAAAGCTGATTTTTTTTTTTGCTGTTTTGATGTCACTTCCTTTTTATCCCCAGTTCCCATACCTTTGTTATTTTAAATGTGCTCACGATGGCCAGTCCAGGCTGCACAGCTCTATGACTTAGGTGGGAATAGCAGACTTGTGTAGAAACAGGAAGGGCTGGAGCAACAAAGGGGTCAGAGTATGCAAGAGTAGGGCATGTTTCTCTCTTCCTTGTTTTTTAACTTGGACTCTGGGAGGGTTTTCTACACTCCAAAATATTTTAGTTATGAAAAATTAAATGCCTGGATATTAGGCCTGTGCAAAGCGGCTAGGTATTCGCTTCAGATTTGGCTGATTCGGGGGACAGTGATTTGATTCAGTGATATGAATCACCATCCCGAATCGACTTGACTGAATCTGATTTGGCCCATCCCCTGCCCACTCTCCCTGCCCTGGCAATGGCTGCCCTGCCCTTCCCAGCTCCTGGCCCTTCTTAAAAAAAAAAAAAAAGCCCCAACTCACCAGGTGCAGCCTGGCGAGTGGTGATCCCTGCTGTCCCCCACTGCACAGGGGGCTCTGCTAGAAGTCCCCTGACACCCCCCCCACTCTCCCATGACTGTCCCACCTGCCACGGCTTCAGCCCTTTAAGGAAAAAAAACAACCAAAAAACCCCAGACTCTCCGCTCCTGCTGGGCAGGGGGCAATCTCCACTGCCCCGTGCTGCGTGGGGGGCTCTTCACGAGTCCCCTGAAGCTGCTGCAGGAGCAGTGAGTCCCAGGGCTTTTCTTGGGGTTTTTTTTCTTGAAGGGCTGGAGCTGGCCTGGGTGGGACACCCATGAGGGGGCTGGGGGAGTGGAGGGGAGGGCCAGGGGGCTTGCGCAGAGCTCCCCATGCAGTGCGAGCAGCAGGGATCACCCCCCCGCCTGGTGAGCACCGGGGCTTTTTATTAAAATGCTGGGAGCTGGGGTGGGTGGGGCACCTGTGGGGGGGCTGGAGGAGCAGGCAGGGGTCCCCCCATAGTCCCCTCCCCGCTCCTCCAGATCCCCTTCCCCAGCCCCTAGTACTTACTAGCTTGGAGTCAGCTGCAGCTCCCTGCTGCAGCCACTGGGGACTGCCCGAATTAAAGCTCTCCAAATCTTTTCTGAAGACTTGGAGAGCTCTGAATCGATTTGGACCTTTTCATCGGTTCCCTGATTTTATTCGGATTCAGAGATACGGCTACTATATTGGACCAGATCTCCTCTGGATCAAATCACCCCCCGAAGCTTTGCACAGCCCTACTAGATATTTAATATTAGGGGACTGAAACAACAGAAGTGAACAGTGGCAAGATGCCCAGAACCAAGCTACACTGAGGTTAGGGAAAGGAATCGGGCAAAAGCACGGAGAATCACTGAGGGAAGTTACTGCTGAATGCATACGAGAAAGTGGGGAATTAAGATCTCAAAAGTGCAAAAAATGGTTGGAGGAAGAGGTAAGTTACAACTAGAAGATGGAAGAGAAACACAAGAGGCAAAGAACATTACCCTTTCCTATTAGGATTATGAGCCTGATTTCACTACTCTCTCAGGACAGATGCCCCGAAGAAAGAGGCAAATCTTGCTTCTTGGCTTTTTCCCTGGACTGTCCAAGCTATGACACTACTACAATGCACCTACAGCCTAAAAGGCTCTCAGAATTGGTGAAAAGGGTCCCTAAGGGTTCAAAGAAACTGGGTTCACTGAACACAAAACAGTCAAGTACAGACGGGAAGAAGCCCAATTTCTATACTGCAGGAAACTCTTCATCTTGCATTAATCAAAAATGGAAGCCTAATTTATCTTCTTTTCCAAAAGTGCATTTGAGAAAGTAATCGGGCGCTCACTTACCAAACATCCACACGTCGCTAGCTGAGGTAAAACGTCGGAAATTGATTGACTCTGGAGCCATCCACTTGATAGGCAATTTTCCTTTGGAAGCTGAGGGAGGGGAGAGAAGGTCATTAATTCGGCTAAGCAAGCTCCAATCTCCAATCTCCAGCAAAATAACCTGGAGGTAGTCTCTTCCATCAAAAACCTGGGTACAGGACCCTCGGGAGACATGAGAGGAAAAGGAGGATTGGCTCCTAAATGCACATATGCTGGATAAGATTTTTTCCCTCAGTTTTAAGATGATGATTTTACTTTAAACTACTCAAATGCAAGTGAGTATTTATTAGAACTGAGCTTGAGGCAGCCACAGAAAATCACAATGAATGAATATTTTTTAAATTGAGCAAGGAAAAGCAAAGACTTTTGTTTATAAATTAAAGAAATGCAATAAAGTGCAATAAATTCTTGAAGGCTCCAGGTAAATATTGCCCTTCACTTTTGTAACTTAAACAGACCTACGTATTTTGTTCAAAGCATCATTACAAACCATCAGGAATACCAGAACACTTGGTGGATAATGTGGGGAGAGGGAAGTGAGTGAGGGGCATTGTTCAAATTTAGGAAAGTAATTGACGGTTTAAAACATACACATCTTGTCTCCAAAAAGACACTGTGCAATTAAAATTACCACTGATTTGAACCTTGCTTTGGTGCTTGCCATCATTTTACTGCCTGAGCCCTCAGCTCATACATTTTGGAGCATCCCATTATAAATGGAGTCAGGCAACTTCAGTTTGGGAAGAAAAGGAGGGAAAAGCAACTGTTAAATCCTTTCTGCGCTTAATATCCCCAACCTGCCGTTGTTTGGAAAGTATGAGGGGTAGCTGAAGAAGACAATCTGCAAGTCCCCCAGCACTCACAGACTGTGTCCAGACGAGCACGGATGTTTGTTTCCCCGGGGACAAGTAGCAGCGGCACCCCTTGTCCCCGGGGAACGCCCGTTCCATGCACGTTTTGGCGCGCGTGGGTTACCCTGGGTGGGGTGGGGGAGGCTGTGGCCAGCAACTGTGCTAGCCCCAGCAGCCCTACCTTGGGCCCAGGGGGGAGCTGCAGCCATGGCGCTTCTACAGCTGGAGTGTGGCTCTGGCCAGCCAGACTCTGGTTTTGGGAGGCTCATGCTGTCCTGCTTTTTTTTTGGCATGGGTTTTCAGCATGGGTAATGCCTGAATGTACAGTGTGTGGTGCTGCAGATGGGTCTGTGGCACCACATACCTCACATCTGTGCTCATCTGGACATGGCCACAATGGACAACCTGGATCAGGCCATGAATATGGAATTTTATTAAGTCATCAATAATCATCTTTGATACTAGAAGGGCTGTAAAAGAAAGAACTTTAATGGTCTTCCTGTTCTCCGCCCCCCCGCCAAATTTTTAACTACAAATGAATTGGCTGGCTTTTGCCAATTTGTCAGTCCCTGTGATATTTTTAGCAGCTGTGTGAGAGAATTTATTGACATCTGTTGAACCATTCAACTTAATGATTTTATAATTAACCAGATTTCTTTGGTTTAATTGTTCTGAGCCTTTTGATTCCTTAGCAAACAAACGTGATTAGCAATGCAGGTCACCTCCAGTTTGGCTGCACGCAGAATCCTTCCCTTACCCCCTTAAATCTTTACAAGTACTTTTTACCTTTATAGTAAGTACTGTCTTCCATGTATCGGGACAAACCGAAGTCACCCAACTTCACACAATCGTTGGAGGATACCAGCACATTTCTAGCAGCTATATCCCTGCCAAAAAAAAAAAAAAAAAAAAAAAAA